AATGAATATAATTTGAAACTAATTATGCCATTACATTTTAATTGAGACTAATTAAACCATTACATTTCAGTATTATTAAAAGAAACAAGGAAATGTATCAATTTTTAAGAAAAGAAAATTATTAAGAAAAAAATGTATCAATTTTTAATTGAAAAAAAAATTACATTTTTATATCATTGAGACTAATTAAGAAAAGAAAAAAAAATAATAAGTATTAATATTAATATTAATTGATACTAATTATTAATATTAATTAAGAAAAGAAAGAAACAAGGAAAAAAAAAAAGAAAATGTATCAATTAAGAAAAGAAAAAATAAATAAAAGAAACAAGGAATTTTTTTTTAATATTAATTGATATTAATTAATAATTTTAGTATTAATTGAGACTAATTAAGCCATTATATTTTTATCAAATGTATCAATTTTTATATAAATTGATACTAAGCCTTGGTTTGGTTTTCTTTGCAGGTTACATAATCACAAAAAGACAAAAAAGTTACAAAAGTAACAAACTATCCCATATACAAACAAAAAGTCAAAAAAGTATCATTCTATACTAAGGGCAATTTTGTCATTCTAAAGCCAAAAAGTCAAAAAAGCCAAACAATAATACTAAACGACTAAAAAAGTTTCAGGCTAAAAAAGTCAAAAAAGTAAAAAAAAATCAACTAAAAAAGCCAAAACCAAACGACACCTAATTAATACTAATTATGTTAATTGAAAAAAAAATGACAAAATTATCATTTTTATATCATATAAGGGCAAAAATGACAATTATACACACAAAAAAAAACTATTTTACAGCTTATCTACCAAACACTACTCTGCTGTTTAAATCCATAATCTCACAGTTGTACTAAACAGATTAAACAGCTTATGTTCATACTTATAAGCTATAATCTGTTAAGTTATAATTTATAATCATTTTCCCACAGCTCTACCAAATGGGGCCTTTAACTCAAGTCTAAGGTTTGCCCTTTGGTTCTCTTCAAAAACCCTAGCTCTTCTTTTTCCTCTCTCTCTATAACTTACTCTAACAAACTTTTCCCAAAAAATGAAGTATACAAGAGGCCAAACACAAATAAAGCTTAACTCATAAATTTTAATTTAATCATTATGAATCGTAATTTTATAAAATTTCACTGTAGGCTGTAAAAATCATGTTAATCACAGATATGAAGTCGGTTTTGATTTATTGTGCCTCTAAGGCTATCAATTTTACACTCAAAGTGGTATTTGTAACAGATATTTCTACATTCAACAGATCAAGTTCTAAAATCACAAAATTTATATACTTAAATTTGTAAATTCATATCAAATACATAATTCCATCCATAATTAAACGTAATACGAGTTGGGTTATCACACTTCACCTCCCAACCTTATGTATCTATCTGTATCTATTTGTATTTAACTTGATCCTACTTGTAATTGGCAAAATCCATTTAATTAGTCAAAAAGCAAGTTTAGGATTGACAATTGACATAATAAAAGTTTGATGGATTTCATTTGAATAATCCATAATGAACCTACCACTACCAAGATTGTTAGAATTTTTTTTTGTTCCTATTCCTCTAAATTTTTCAAAAAACAACAATAAATACATATAGAACTTCAAATTTTCATTAAAGTGATTTTTGTTTTTGGAGTTACACAAAATCCAATCCCTCCTAACATTAAAATGATACTGTTACCGATTAACAAAATTCATTTTCTTATTAACAAATCATTTTCTATTCAATAATGAGAAAAGACATCCCCGATGTCAATGGTTGTTTAAGACACATAATGGCCAATTTGCATTCAATAAATTCAACAATCTTCCATTTCAACAATCTTCCTTTAAGGCAGTGTTTGGGAAAGATTTTTTTTGGCTTTTTTTTTGTTTTTTTTTAACTAAAAAATAAAGTAGTTACAAAACCAAAAAAATAAATTCAAACAAAATATTATATCAAATTCCATAATTGTTTTACTTTTTTTTTCTCACAAACATCACATCCAATCACAAAAAATCTAACTATCTTTCCAAACACAAATTTTCTTTTCTCCAATAATATTTTACAACTAAAAAAATCTACAAAAAAATCCACTTTCCAAACACCCACTAAAAAGAGTAATTCTATGCAAATAAAAAAAATTATATATAATAATGTGATTTATTATTATTTTTTTATTTTAAAATAAATATTATTAAAGATAAATTTAATTATAATAATAACATTATAATATCATTTTTGTTAAAAAATTTTGTATAAATTTTATGATTTTTTTAATACAATATCATAATTTTAATAATTAAAAAAAAATTATTTAGATTAAAAATATTTGTGAAATTATTATTCATATTAAATAAGGATAAAATTGGGATAATAAATATCATTATAGAGGAATGAACTTTCTAGAAACATTTTATGATAAATAATTATTCATATTAAAACTTGATAAGATTCAATAATAATCTTAAAAGAAAAATAAGACTTATTGGTAATTTTTTTATAAGAAAATTTCTATTCTTACATAATATTCATAAAAAAAAAAAAAAAAAAAAAAAAAAAAAAAAAAAAAAAAATTAAAAAGGGAAATAAAAAAAACATATTAAATAAGGATAAAATTGGGATAAGAAATATCATTATGTAGGAATGAACTTTCTAGAAACATTTTATGATAAATAATTATTCATATTAAAACTTGATAAGATTCAATAATAATCTTAAAAGAAAAATAAGACTTATTGGTAATTTTTTTATAAGAAAATTTCTATTCTTACATAATATTCATAAAAAAAAAAAAAAAAAAAAAACTTAATAAGGATGATATGACAATATTATTGTAAATAAATTTATCTTGAGAAATCCTACTATATATACTCTTTGAAATGGGTGTACTTTATGCACCCTTAATTATATCATTTCTTTCCTTTAATTATGACATTATTTTAGTTATGCCAAATGTGATGTTTGGTTATGACTTTTTCTTTTTATTTTTATTTTTTACAATTATGATCCAAAACATATGAAATTATGTCATTTTTTTTTTTACTTATTAGATATATATGATACACATCTTTTAGTCTTTCCTATTTATCTTAATAATATTTTATTTTGAAGTGAAAGGTACAACTCTTTCCATAAATATGTGACTTATAACTTTAGAACGCTAACATATTTGTTTATAGAAGTATTCCGTCTCTCAATTATTCAGAGAGTAAATTAAAAATATATCTCATGAGATTTGTTTAAAATATAAATTGCTCTTTGTAGTTTGAAAAATTACAAATACCTTTCTATCATAATTTTTTATTAACAAAATTAATTAAAAAAGTGAAATTTCTAACTATTTACCTATACAATAATAAAATTATTTGAATTATTAATTGAAATAAAATTTTAACATGATTAAAAACAGTTAGTTAACTTGATGATATATTAATAAAAGGACATATTTGTTATTAAATTAGAAACCTTAGGGAGCATAATGTAATTTCTAAAATCACAGAGGATAATTTGTAATTTAAGTAAACCTCAGGAGGTGTGTTTGTAATTTACTCTTTTTTATAATAAAAGTAAGGTCTTGTTTGGGAAGAGAGTTGGGTTAAAATAACACATTTAGGTTAAAATAATTAATAAATTAAAATGTCAAATTCAATCCATAATCATTTCATTTTTTTCTAACAACTATGAGATCAATTACAAAAATAAAGGTCAACTAACTCCTTAAACAAAACTTTTTTAAGCAGATTAAAATAATTTAAAAAATCAAATAATAACTTCTCAAACAAGGCCCAAGTGCCTTGATTGGCCTGAATTCCTTAGGCAGTGTTTGTGAACTTAGGCCTCATTTGGGAACCCTTCTTTTTAGTTAAAAAGTCAAAAAATTACTAAATTAACCAAAAAGTCAACAACCCATACCAAAAAGTCAAAGATTATCTTTTTTCTCTACTTTTTGCACATCTTTTCGTAAAAAGCCAAAAAGTCATCCCAAACATACTAGTTTTTTTTAGCTCATATTTTAGCCAAATAGTTAAAAAGTTACTAAATTAGTTCGTTCCCAAACGAGGCCTTAGGTTGGTTTTTAGTCTAAAAATTAAAAAATTATTAAAAAAATCAAAAAATTATAATCTACATAAAAAAATTAAAGATTCTATTTTCTCTCTATTTTTTGTATATCTTTTCGTAAAAAATCAAAAAATCATTTCAAATATACTAATTTTTTTACCTTATATTTTAGCTAAAAATCTAAAAAATTACTAAAATAGCATGCTCACAAATGAAGGCTTAGATTTTGGCTAAAATAGTAATTAAAAAAAAAGTCAACAAATCATATACATCAATTAATTATTTTTTCTCTTATAATTATCAATCCAATTACAAAAAATTCATAAATAATCTAAAATATAATTTTTTTAAATTTCATAAAATAATTAGAAAAGCTAAAAAGATGTTAATGGTTGGAAACATTTCTCATGACTGTGATTTTCTCTTTCTTTTGAAAGTTTTCTTTTGTGTCAATTACATTATGGAGTATTTTGAAAAATTAGTAAAAAGTTAATTTTTTGACTTTTTTAATTTATTTTGTCTTTTTATGAATAAATTATGTGAGAAGTGATACGACTTAAAATGGGTAAAAAGTAAAAAATTGACTTTTTACCAGCTTTTCAAAAGAGCACTATATTTGATTTTGTCATTATTATTGTAATTCATTTAATTTTATCATAATACCATATCGAATAATTTAAATTATTTTTTTTTTCCTAATTTCAAGAAAGAATAAAAAGTTAAAATTTAACAATTGTTTAACATGATAGTTTGAGATTAAATTAGTAAAAAATATATATATATTAATAAAATAAATTAAAAAATTAATAAGATAAATTATTATATTCAAATCATAATTATTTTATTTTTTTTACAAAAATTTAAAATAAAAAAATTCATCCAAACAAAATATTTTAACCCAAAATAAAATAATTAAAAAATAAAAAAACCAACTCACATCCCAAACCAACATTTTGAACCTGCGTCCTGAACTTGTAAAATTCATGAATGGTGCCATTGACCTAGGGGTGTGTATTATACGTTTCATGCCCTAGCTACAGTACCTCAACGATTGGCAATCGACAGCGAAAGAAGTTTTGAAGATGGAGAAACAGAGAGACATGGATTGGTGGGTTTCGATCCCAAAGGTTGAACTACACGCCCACCTCAATGGTTCCATCAGAGGCTCAACTCTACTGTATGCTTTCTCTAACTTCAACTCAATTATACACCCATATATACACTCTCATACCCACATACATATATACCCATTTTGTATTTCACTTGTTATAACCCAGAAATCACAAAAAAGTTGAAAGCTTTTCAGTTCTCAAGTACTCTCCATAGCAAAATTAAACCCTTTTTTAAAATACATACAAGTCAACTAATTATACTAAATCTTCATAAATACTTATATAGTATATGAATTCTTAGCACCCAAAATGGAAAAATGTTGAGCATTTGATTGTTGAAGGTTTTTATGGATGGAAGTTTTGTTTTTTGGGGGTTGAAGTTTGTTATACAAAGAAGTTGCAAGAGTTTTGGGGGGAAAAGGGTGTACATATATATTATAGTATTCTTAGTACCCAAGAAGGAAAGAGGTTGAGAGCATTTCAGGGTTGATGTATTAAATGGTTAAATTTTGTTTTACAGTGAGCTTGCTAGAGGTTTGGGTGAAAAGGGTACTATTGTTTTCTCTGATGTAGAGCATGCTATTCTAAAGGGTAAGCCCATTTTGGTATTTGTAATTCACTTTTGGTATTTGTAATTCACTGTTGACATTGTAATTCTGATACCCTTTCTTCAGACTTATGCTTAAAACTCTGTTTGTAATGTAGATGACCGTTCACTTCAAGAAGTGTTCAAGTTGTTTGATCTGATCCACATTGTTACTACTGACCACAAAATCCTTACCAGAATTACTCAAGAAGTATGAAAAATTCACCGGCCCTTGTATAAAAGTTTTAATGCTCTACTCAAAATCTTATTCACTATTTTTTTCATGAAGTAGGTTGTGGAAGACTTTGCTGCAGAGAATGTGGTTTACTTGGAGTTAAGAACAACTCCGAAGGTACTTACTTACATCAGACCATTGGTGTTAAAAAAATTGCTTTTCATACTAAAATTTTGTGCTAAATATTTATATCATGTCACTGACTGAAGTAACTATGTCACTTATGAAATTGTGTAATAGTTATTTTTAAATGAAGTAGATGAATGATGGTCATGTCAAGAAATTATGTTCAAGGGGCCCAAATTGTGTGCGTAAAAAAAATTTGAGTTAATTTTAGGTCATTACTAACATAAGATAATTTCATACATAAGGGTTGTGAAGAAAGCAATTTATGAGAAGAAAAATGAATCTAACCAGTCTTTTTTTCCCTCTCTTTTCTAAAGTTTTGAATATTAATTAAGCCATTTTGTTGATCGACATAATCTGGCAAATAAAAAGTATACATGCCTTTTTGAATTTAAAAATAAAGAAACAAAAAGAAGTGACTTGTACCTCTTTTATAAATAAATTCTATGTACGGCTAGCATGTAGTGTCTAAGTCTCTGTGTGGCCCAGACAAGCGCAAGGCATGCCTTTTCAAGCAAAGAGTATCTCGACTCATAGTACCCTATGTTATAAGTGGTAAGGGGAGTGACTTGCTCAGGGGAAAAAGAAAAAGCCCTTTCCCCCTACTATAATGGGTAAGCTTGTTCCACCCCTTCGATGAATTCTTTTGCAGCGGTTTGAACTGAACCTGGGCTATCAATATATTGATGCTATTAAGTAGCATGTGAAATAGTTGAAAAATCATCTCATTTGTGAAAAATTAATGAAATAAAGAGCAAGTAAAGTGATTTTCATAAAATTAGGGGGCAATTCCATTATAAATTTTACAAATTCTCCATTTCATGTCAGTTTGTTTGGACTTGTAGCAGTCTATATGGTATTCAATAGTCATTTGGTTGTATATGAAGTTAATGACTTTTTGACCTTTTATTTGGATGAAATGATGGGTTACCTTGCATACAGAGGAATGATTTGATAGGGATGAGCAAACGGTCTTACATGGAAGCAGTGGTGAAGGGTCTAAGGGCTGTCGCTACAGTAGAAGTTGACCTTGCCCCAAGGGATTTGGGTACGGGAAATCCTGTGAATTCTTGTGCTATTACCGATTTGTGTGATGGAACTGCAAGAAAGAAGATATATGTCAGACTTCTTCTCAGCATTGACCGTCGCGAGACTACTGCATCTGCAATGGAAACTGTATGTTAGTGGAATCAGGAATGGGAACTTCATTCTCAATTCTACGAGAATTTTAATGAAAGCCTTTCATTTGCTTCTCTTCAATGGAAGTTTTATTTTCCCAGCATGTGTCCTAATTTTTGGCGCAATTCTTTTTCTAATGATTGATTCAACCTTTGATAAAAAAAAAAACCTTGGTTATATTTCGTCTTTTCAACAAGTTTAGTAATGTGCATAACGGCCCTATTGTTCCGATGGAGAGAAGACCTTGAGATTAACTTTTTGGGAAAATTTTCAATCGAACAATTTCAACGAAATCTTTTGATTTCTTCTTTTACTATGATGTTTCCTGTTTATAGTTTGTCCAAAGACTAAGGCTTTATTTCTGTTACCCTTCTTTCTGAAGGTTGAACTTGCACTGGAAATGAGAGATTTGGGTGTAGCGGGAATTGACCTTTCTGGAAATCCCATTGTCGGTGAATGGTACTTTTTCACTACCAAAACAATTATTGTTTTTCCATTAGTATTATTCTCCATTTTCTGTTGAGCTGCTGCTGCTGCATCACTGCTTCTTCGGATTTGTGGCAGGGCAACATTTTTACCAGCTTTAAAGTTTGCTAGGGAGCAAGGTCTCTCCATAACTCTTCACTGTGGCGAGGTGCGTTTAGTGTTCTTATATTTTTTATTCTATTTTTTTGTCATGGTGTTAGTTACCTTGACTGGTTATTTTCATAACTTAGTGCTTGTAGGTACCCAATCCGGTGGAAATCAACGCAATGCTAGACTTTCTTCCTGGGAGAATTGGCCATGCTTGTTTCTTTGGAGAAGAAGAATGGAGAAAGTTGAAATCTTGCAAGATACCGGTTTGATATTTTTGTTCATTCCTTTCTATCATAAAGATGTATGGTATTTTGATATTCTATACAAAATCCCATAACATAATGAGTCTAACTGGCAGAATTCTGTTTCTACGCTAGGCCGTGAACTAGATTAGAATCATTCTCAACGAGTCCATAAGAAGTTATCCCATTTTTTCATCCAGTCCTGGTAAGACCAAAGTTCTTAAGCGACTGATCCTGCAAAACAACTCAAAAGATAAGGAAGTAACATCAATTTCTTCATGCTATACTTTTTGCCTGGTTCAATTGGTTTCAACTTCTTTGTCTTGTCGTCAAATGTTCATATTGTTTACCATCTAGATGATAGGTTATTCATCAGAGATTGTGGATATGGACATCTGATCATCTAGTCAACTTAGATTTTTACTCTTCCTGATTTGTTTCCAACCTTTGTATATTTACGAGAGAAAAGTGCCAAGATATTATGTCATCTCTCTAGAATGGACTAGTAATCATCAGTAACATGCAAAAAAAATGTGCTTGAGTGGTATTAAATTTGTCATCATCATACAAAATATTTGTAGAAATCATTTTTCCTCTTTTCACACCTTGCAGGTTGAGATTTGCTTGACATCCAATATCCGAACGGAAACAATCTCTTCTGTCGATGTTCATCATTTTGGTTAGCTCTTCTGCTTCTATCTTTGTTTTATATATTTTTCCAACATTAATGGAATCTAAAAGTAGAATAGATTATAGAGAACTGTTACTATTCACTTGACTATCTGTTGATGACAATCTTTTAGAAGATGTGCTTGATAATAATAATACATAAACCAAATGTGTTGGCATTGCAGTTGATCTTTATAATGCAGAACATCCAACAGTTCTGTGCACTGATGATTCTGGGGTATTTTCTACCAGTCTGTCTGGCGAGTACATTCTTGCATCTTCTGCATTTGGTAGGTCCTATGCTTTCTATGAATATGAATATAGATTATTGAACGGTAAATTACACTAACCATTCCTGAGGTTTAGCAAAAATATAATTAGCCCCACAAATTTAACATAATTAAATCGAAATCTCTTTTAGTAAGCCCAAAGTACCCGGAATTAATGCAGATGTGTAGACACAGAAATAAACAAGGGTTAAAATATATATTTTAGTGTTAAAAGAAGAGACAACATCATCATTTTCTATCCATACAACTAACATATTACTAATGAAAAGGGGGTTAAGGGTTATGTGAACTAAAACCTTAAGGGATAAACTTGTAGGGCTTAATGTATTTTCTCTAAATCTCAAAGAGGGTTAGTGTAATTTACCCATTATTTAATATATCTATTGTCACTTGAGTCTTATATTTCATTTGTCAATGACCAAGGTCTTGGAAGGAGTGAAATGTTTCGGCTTGCTCGGAAAGCCATTGAATTTATATTTGCTGATGATGCGGTGAAGAGGGAACTTGGAGAGATTTTCGAATCTGCTGCGAGGAAGCTGGATTTATGATTAATAGCATGTGTAGCAGAAGCCATTCTTTATGCATGGTCATGATTTAGCATTATTGGTTCAATTGGAAAATGCAGGACTTAACCAGTAAGATTTATAATACTAATGTAGAAGATCAGATATTGTATTCTATTCTGTATTGCTGTTTGTTGACAATGTAGGAAAGACTATCGTAGCCGCTCTTGGCTCATTTTAACAAACTCGCGTTGCATGGCCAAATTGGGTGATTGCCATTGTGTTATTTTCATTGTTTCGATTTACAGCTTGACTTTGGTTAAAAGAAGAAAGAATTATGGAGAAAATTGTGTGATTGCTTTTTGATGGTGCATTTATCATCATTTGGATTGTGGTATGTCAGAACATTGAAATAGTTTTTGTTGTATGGCCTCCTTGAAGCATTGAGAATGGTTACAATATAGAGAAGCCACCTCTTTTGAGTAATTTTTGTCGTGTTATCCTCATTGTTGATATTGTATGGTGAACTTATCAAATACATAAACAAATTATTGTTGTTTTTGTTGTAGCTGTAGTTTGGTAGGACTTTGTCAACATTGTGGACTATAGAAAACAAAGAAAGGTTCTCTAGGTGTGCTTGTTGGGAGTAGTGTTGATCGTGATAAGTATTGTACACTAATCACTCTAATTCTCAATTGCAGATTCAACTTTTGGAGTAACGGTATGTATGATATTTTCACACTAGTGACTTACAGTCTAAATTTTATATATTTATAGTTGAGAGGAGACGACTATCTCTCATAATCTTTTTAATCATAGATTATGGCGAATAGCATAAAACTTGATGTTTAGCATTTGTTGGTCTTTGTATATCATGTTTCACTAGCTGTATTTTTTAATCATGGATCTCTTAACCAGTGTTGATTGCTATACTGATTGTGTTTGGGATTGACTTTTTTGTTTTTTTTTTTTCTTGATTTTTAGTGAATTTTATGAAACTTTACATTTTAAAGTTTTGTAGATTAGATGTACCATAAAAGTTTTTAAAAAAAAAAATTGAAAAAAGGGGTCCATTTGAAGACCAAAAAAAAATTGGTTTTTTAGGTTGTAATGCTTTTGGAATTTTTCAAAAAAAAAATAAGAAAAATGAAAAACCAAAAAAACATTTAGATCCTTCAACACTACCTGGATTTGCAAAGTTAAAAAAAAAATGATACAAATTGTAAAAAAAAATCACTAAAAGCCAAAAAAAATTCAGAAATAAAAATTTGAATTTTTTAGGTTGATGGCAAACTCTACCAGAAGTGAGGAGCTTAATTTCCTGGATTGACAATGACCATGACCATTTCTAGCTAGAGCAGTAGCCACCTAAATGGACACAGTCCGTTGCATTGGAAAGTCATGAGGATATATTAAACATTTTGCTCAAGGTGCCAAATTTCATTCTAAATTCTTCTACAGAGTGAGGAATTGGGGACTTTGATCAATTATTTATCTTATTTTTCTTTTACCATTCATGTGTATTATTACTAGCATATGGAACATATGAACCCTGCGATGCACGAACTAAATAAATAATTTAAAATAAATTAAATTTTAATCATTGTATTAGAATATATATTGCAGTTGTATGTCATGAATTATATATTTAAGTTCACAATTAGAAATAGATATCATAATTTAATTAGTAAATATTAAATAAAATAAAATAAATTAAAAAAATTATATTTATGATAAAATAAAAATAAATTTCAATTTAGAATTTTTTTTAATTTTAGTTTATTTTATATTAAAGTTTGTCATAAAACTTATACATACCTTTTAGAAATAAATCAATATATATATTGATAAAATCGTTAAAATCGGTTAAAAGACTAACTAATTTATACAAAAATTAATTAATTAAAACTTTCAAATTTTATTTTATTTTAAAATTTAGACTATTTTCAACTAAAACATACACAACACTACAATATTAAATAAATAATTAATTACCTGAAGTGAGGAGCTTAATTTCCTGGATTGACAATGACCATGACCATTTATAGCTAGAGAAGTAGCCACCTAAATGGACACAGTCCGTTGCGTTGGAAAGTCAAGAGGATATATTAAACATTTTGCTCAAGGTGCCAAATTTCATTCTAAATTCTTCTACAGAGTGAGGAATTGGGGACTTTGATCAATTATTTATCTTATTTTTCTTTTTCCATTCATGTGTGTTATTACTAGCATATGTAACATATGAACCCTGCGATACACGAACTAAATAAATAATTAAAAATAATTTAGAATAAATTAAATTTTAATCATTGTATTAGAATATATATTGCAATTGTTATGTCATTAATTGTATATTTTAAGTTCATTTTAAGAAATAGATATCATACTAATTTAATTGGTAAATTTGAAAAAAATAAAATAAATTAAAAAAAATTATATTTATGATAAAATAAAAATAAATTTCAATTTAGAATTTTTTTAATTTTAGTTTATTTTATATTAAAGTTTGTCATAAAACTTGTACATACTTTTTAGAAATAAATCAATATATATATTGATAAAATCATTAAATCGGTTAAAAGACTAATTAATTTATACAAAAATTAATTAATTAAAATTTTCAAATTTTATTTTATTTTAAAAGTTAGACTATTTTCAACTAAAACATACACAACACTACAATATTAAATAAGAACATATGTTTACTTTATATAACTGAAACAATACACTTTTTCCTTCTGTTCCCGATGTAGAATTGTGTAAAATAAAAATTAATAATTGTTCGAGCAGGAAATTTATTTCGAATCAAACAATATCAGTCATTTAATATTTAATTAGGCCAATCTTTAGTTTATTTCGAATCAAAAAAATATAACCAATGTATTTTGATAAAACCGCTAAGATCGCGGTTAAACCAACCAGTCAGTCAAACAAAAAACGGTTCAGCCTAATCGATTAGGTCAAAAAATCAATCAACTTATACCAAAATTAATTAATTAAAACTTTTTAATTTTATTTTGAGTTTAAAATTTAAACTTTTCTGAATTGAAGCAGTATAACACTACAATATTAAATAGAAATATAAGGTTCATTTTCATATAAGTGAAACACCACATTAATAAAAGTTAACAATTGATTGGACGAAAAGTTTGTTTCTAATCAAACAATCAGTCGTTCAATCTTTCATCAGATTAATTTTTAGTTTATTTCGAATGAAACAAATCTAATCAATATATTTTGATAAAACCGCTAAAATCGTGGTTAAATCAGTGAATCAATCAAATCGAAAATGATTCAGCATAATCGGTTAGGTTAGGTAGAAAGACCAACCAACTTGCATAAAAATTAATTAATTAAAATTTTTAAATGTAATTTCAATTTAATTTTAAAATTTAAATTTTAAAATTTAAATTTTCTTGAATTAAAACATTTACAACACTACAATATTAGGTTCACTTTATATAAGTGAAACAATTCAGTTTTTTCATTCTTTTTCCGATGCAGGATTATAAAACAAAAGTTAATAATTATTTAGACAGAAAGTTTATTTTTAATCAAGCAATCCTAGTCGTTTAATCTTTAATCAAATCAATCTTTAGTTTATTTCAAATCAAACAAATCAAATAAATATATTTTGAAAAAGTCGCTAAAATCGCAATTAAACCAACGAATCAGTCAAATCAAAAATGATTCAGACTAATCGGTTAGATCAAAAGACCAACCAACTTATACAAAAATTAATTATTTAAAATTTTAAAATTTAAACTATATTAAATTGAAACATGTACAATACTACAATATTAAATGAAAGTAAAAAATTCACTTTATATGAGTGAAAAATTTCACTTTTTCCTTCTTCTCCTGACGTGGGATTATCAAATAAATTATAAACTAATTACAATTTTATTTTTATATGGTTAAATGGAAGCTAACCAATAGAATTTTTTTTAATTATTTAAAATTAAGAAAATCAAGAAAGTTAGTATGAAATATTGAAACTTTAACAAGACTCCTCACTAAAACTATATTGAATTGAAACATACACAATATTACAATATTAAATAGGAGTATAAGATTCACTTTGTATGAGTGAAAAATCTCACATTTTCTTTCTTCTCCTGAAATGGGATTATCAAATAAGTCATCGAATAAATCATAAACTAATTAGAATTTTATTTTTATATGGTTAAATGAAAACTAACCAACTAAGATTTTTTTAATTATTTAAAATTAAGAAAATCAAGAAAATTACTATCAGATATTAAAACTCTCACAAGACCCTTCACTAAAAGCCTCTATTTTCTTATATAATATATAGATTATTATTATTATTATTATTATTATTAGACTAAAAGCCAATAAGAAATTTAAGGCTCTGTTTGGTTGTGAATTCAAAATGTAATTTCACAGGTGTATTTCAGTATGATGTTTGGTTGTGTGTTTGGAATCAACTTTCCAAACCTCTGCAGAGAGCTCTGTATTACAGCCGCGTTTTTTGTGAAAATTTTGGCCAGGGGAAGACCGCCCGGACGTCCTTAGGGACTACCGCCCGGACGTCCTTGGGGACATCCACCCGGATGTCCTCTGCTGTACAGGATTTTTTTTTTTTTTTTTGCAATTGATTTATATAATTGGAAAAAAAAAAATTCTGAAATTTTTTTAATTTTTAATGTGCTTTAAAATAATTTTGAGTTGTATATTTAGTTATGAGTTGTAAATTTTTGTATCACATATCAAATATCACATCAACAATTCCCCACTCAAATCAAAACTATTTTCAAAACTCTGTACCAAACAAATTTTCTACACTCAAATCATAATTCTACAACACACAAACTCAAAATACAACTCATACTCTCAAATCACATTTACAAAACACAACCAAATGCAGGCAAAGTGTTTGTTTAAGTAAATCATTTTCAAACTATTTAAATTAATGGACTTTTTAAAAACATAAGTATAAAATGAAGTTGAAAATATGATTTCATAATAAAACAATATTTTAAAGATAAATTTTTATATTGACATAACCGTATTATATACATTGAACACGCTATGATGAAATCGTACTTTCAACTTACAACTTAAATTATCAATTAATGTCATAAATAGTTTGAAAATGTAGGTATTATCATAAATAGTTTAATTTTTTAGATTATTTATAAAAGAAAATTCAGATTGGTTTGGCATTTAACGTATTTAGCTAAATGAAAATTGTTTGAGGGCCCGAAATCAGTGGCTCAAAAGTTGGCTCGAAACCCAAAACGACGTCGTTTTGGGTTTCGAGCCAACTTTTGAGCCACTGATTTCGGGCCCTCAAACAATTTTCATTTAGCTAAATACGTTAAATGCCAAACCAATCTGAATTTTCTTTTATAAATAATCTAAAAAATTAAACTATTTATGATAATACCTACATTTTCAAACTATTTATGACATTAATTGATAATTTAAGTTGTAAGTTGAAAGTACGATTTCATCATAGCGTGTTCAATGTATATAATACGGTTATGTCAATATAAAAATTTATCTTTAAAATATTGTTTTATTATGAAATCATATTTTCAACTTCATTTTATACTTATGTTTTTAAAAAGTCCATTAATTTAAATAGTTTGAAAATGATTTACTTAAACAAACACTTTAATTTTTAGGTTCGGTTTTGGTCCAGTCTAAAATCGAATTAAGTGGTGTTATTGAATTTGTGAAAATTCATCACGGATCCTATTTTGATAATTCGAACCGTTGAATATGTAAAACTCGTTGAGTACTATATGCTTGTAAAAAATCACTTTAATTGGATATCGATAGCAATATGATCAAATTAATTTTGTATAAAACAAATGGACGGTGAATAAATTACTGGTTAACAAAAAACTGTTTTGATCACATAATTATCGATATCCGATCAACGTGATTTTTTATAAGCATATAATACTCAACTATTTTTACACATTGAGCAGTTCGTATTATCAAAACGGGACCTATGATAAACCTTCATAGGCCTAATAGTACTATCTATTTCGACAGACTAGACCAAAGCCGGATCCTTTAGCGGGTGGTGGCAGGTGGGTGGTGGATGGTGATGGTGGGTGGCTGGGTGGCGGGTGGTAGCAAGTGGGTGGTGGCGGTGGTGGTGGCAGGTGGGTGGTGATGGTGGGTAGATGGGTGACGGTGGCGGGTGGTGGGTGGTAGCGAGTGGGTAGTAGTGGTGGTGGTGGCGGTGGGTAGTTGGTAGTGGTGGCAAGTGGGTGGCGGATGGCGGGGGGTGGCGGGGGGGGGCGGGGAGGG